TCCGTGGCCAAGGGCTGTGCCACGCCACGACCTTTGAGATGAGCCGTGCTCGCCCCGCAGCGTCTAGAGCCCAGCGCCCCCCCAGGTAAGAGCCCCGACCCCCAGCACCCCCCAGGTAAGGTCCCTGACCCCCCCAGCAGCTGTCCCGGGCAGTGACCATGTGCTGCCATGCTCCCACGTGTGCTGTGGGGGACTTTGTCCCTGCTGTCACTGTGTCCACTCAGTGCTGCTGTCCCGATGCACTGTTGCCCCGGCAGAGCTATGGCAGCGGCGTTGGCACTGCTGGTGCTGGTGGCCTGGCTGGCTGCCACCACCACAGCTGCGATGGCGACGCAGGACTCGCTGCTCAACACCTGCCTGGACGCCAAAAACCACAAAAAGGAGCCTGGCCCCGAGGGACAGCTCTACGGGCAGGTACAGTCCTCCCTAGCTACTCCAGCACCCACAGGTGTCGCCTGCTGCAGGGTCTCTGGGATGGACTTGGGGGGAGGACTCTGTGCCCTGATGTGGGCTCCACCACCTGGTGTCACCTGCCTATGGGCATCGGTGCTTTCCCCAGACCCCCAGTGGGTCCCAGCTGAGCCCTGGTGCGTCCCAGCTTAGCCCTGGCTACCCCGGCACAGTGTGTCCTCTGGAAGGACAATGCCTGCTGCACTGCCAACACCAGCATGGAAGCACACCAGGACCAGTCCTACCTGTACAACTTCAACTGGGACCACTGCGGGGCCATGCCGGAGAAGTGCAAGCGCCACTTCATCCAGGACACGTGTCTCTATGAGTGTTCCCCCAACCTGGGGCCATGGATCGACCAGGTGGGTGTAGACCCCCCCTTACCCACCCATGGGGATCCCTGGGGTGAACTGGGGTGAACTGGGGACCCTGCAGGCGGACACTAGCTGGCGGAAGCAGCGGATCCGGGATGTGCCGCTGTGCTGGGAGGACTGCGAGCAGTGGTGGGAGGATTGTCAGGATGCTGTCACCTGCAAAGTCAACTGGCACAAGGGCTGGAACTGGACCACGGGTGAGTGAGGGGTGTGGGGGATCCCCCATCATGGCTGTATCCCCCTGTGAGTCCCCAGTCACCCCCATCTTGCTGCAGGGGGAGTTGTGTCCCTCTCCCTCGTGGCTGTGAGTGGGTCTGGGGTGAGGTAAGAGTCCTGATGGGGTGGGGGTGACAGGGGCTGCTGGCAGCCTGGTGAGGATCCCTGTGCCTGTGAGTGGGTCTGGGGGTGATGAGGGTACCCATGAGGTTAGGGGTGATGGCATAGTGGCCCCTGTACCACCCTGAGGTCAACCCCCACCCTGCAACAAATCCAGCAGGATCCATCTGGACCCAAATACCATGGACACCGGAATAACATCCCCTTCTTCCCAAAGCCCTTCACTCACTCACCTCCTGCCCCACCAGGCACCAACCAGTGTCCCCGGGGCGCCATGTGCCAGAAGTTCAAGTTTGTGTTCCCCACCGCGGCCGCGCTTTGCGAGCAGGTCTGGTCTGGCTCCTAATCGCGGCAGTGGCCACTGCATCCAGATGTGGTTCGACCCCGTGCAGGGGAATCCAAATGTTGCCGTGGCCCAGTATTACGCTAGCAGTAATGCCCTCCCAAACCTCCCACTCCCCATCCTGCTGGCCCTGCTGCCCCCTACTCTCCTAGTCCTGCTCTGAGCCGCAGGGCATGCTGGCAGGAGGGGGCATCAGGTGGTCAGAGAGGTCCCCAAGCTGCCCTGTGCCCCCCATAGGATGTCCCCAAGTTATGTCCCCCCCCAGGCACGTGGCTAGTGAATAAACACTCCTGCCCTGTGTCGTGTTGGAATGTTGTGGGGCTGAAGGGTAGGGGGCAACAGGATGAGAGACCTGGGTGGGTCTGATCCTGCTTGTCTTGGGAGGATGAAGTGGTGCCTCATCCCTGTTTATCTGTATCCCCCAGGCTGCCTGCCATTGACCCCTGAAACCACTGTGGCTGGCAAAGCAGGGGGCACAGGGAGATGGGACTGCTGAATGTGTCCCAGCACCTGCTGTGTCTCCAGGAGTCAGAGGCAGCCCGAGGTGCAGAGGGTGGGACTGGGGAAATAATGAGAGGGGGGGTCACACTATAGGGACCCCGTGGCAGGGGCATGTCTGTCGAGAGGGTCCCAAGGGCTTGCAGCCCACCCCAGGGGTT